GAAAATTACTCAAAACGAAATGCAAACCAGATTTAGAGTGATTTGGTCAATGTGACCTACATCTACTTTCGGATTCCTCCTCCGACGAGGTCTCCGGCATCCACTAAAAGCCTTCCTTCAATATGTGAAGACCGAACACCTCTTTACAACACTTTCTCATTTTTCCGGGTTTAGGAGATGAACCCTTACAAGTCTCACTCCTCTTTCTTGGATGGTTACAAGGCTAAGTGATGAAGGAGAAGAACTCTAACTTTTACAACACTTTAAGACTCAAGAATTCAAGATTAAGCCAATAGATTTCGTGCCCTTTCATGCAGAAAAGGGTGGGATTTTTATAGGCCTCAATGACTTAAAAAATGGAGCCAAAAAGTTCTAATCCCGAATTTCCGGGGTCCTGTCGGTACCACTGCCATTACTGGGTGGTACTATCGCTAAGTCTGGGCGGTACCACTGCCTGATAGAGCTCGGAGACTGAGCTCTAGCAGTACCACCGCTTGACAGGGGCCGTACCACCACTGGCAGCAATAACTGTCGGCGGTGCCATCGCCTAGAATTCTTGGGAGACCGAGTCTCCCAAGCAATGCCACCGCTGGCCAGGGATTCATGGCCCTGGTTGGGCCTTGAATCCGACCCAAACCAGCCCAACTTAGGGCCCAGTTGGCCCCAAATTAAGTTAATGGGATTATCTCCCAATCCTAACTTAATTTATGCTCTAACTACGATAATTAAGACATGATTACTACACTTCATATTCTGGTGCGTCAATTGCTCTTCCGGTGAGCTTCCGGCGTACTTCCGGCAAACATCTAATGAACTCTCGGCAATGCTCCGGTGGACTCCTAGAAAGCTCCTGGACTTTACGACGATCTTCTTGGCAAGTTCCGACGAGTTTCTTTGGCAAGCTCCTAGACTTCTCGGTTGGTTCCGGTAAAACTTTTGATGAACGTCTGGACTTCTGACAAACTCTCGAACTCCCAATGTGATCTTGATCTTGACTCCGGCACAACACCTGCTTTATGTCTTACTGCTATCATAGTTAATCGTGCATACTTTTCTCAACATATAGATTAAATCAAACAAATTACAATTGACTTCATCATTAAAATCCGAGATTCAACACGCAACTAACCCCTAATTGGGTTGGCCTAAATCTAATCTCAATTATGTGCTGACTATAAATTCTAAGACATTTCCCAAGCTAAACAAGTCCGTAAGTCTAGTTTTTTCTGACGAGCTTCCAGTGAACTTCCGACGATCTTTCGGCAATGTTCCAACGGACTCCCGGCAAGCTCCTAGACTTCACGATGATCTTCTTGGTGAGTTCCGATGAGCTTCTATGGCAAGCTCTAAGACTTCATGGCTGGTTCCTACAGAACTTTCGACGAATGTCCAAACTTCCGACGAACTCTCGAACTCCCAATGAAATCACGTTCTTGACTCCGGAACTTTATTTTGCTTTATGCCTTGCTATCATAGTTAATCCTACACATGTAAAAACACACTTCGATCTAGACAATTATTACTAAGCTTGAATCATATTGTCCGGCATGTCATAGGTCCATCGACGCTTCGTCCGATTCTTCGGCACATCGTCCTCTCTTGTGGCTTATTGCCCAATCGACCAGTTGACTCCACAACTCCGATATCCTTGGCGCAATATCCGCTCTTCTTGGCCCGATGCCTGAATCCATGGTTCGAAGCCTTCTATCGATACGTCGACCGATCCTCTAGCCCGACGTCCAATCTTCTGACATGTTTTCCTCTAGCCTAACATGATTTTTTCTTCTTTAATTGTCTCTCCCTGATCGAAGCATCCTGCATCACTCAAAATATAGATTAAATCATAAACACTTATTAATTTGTTTCATCATCAAAATACGAGATACAACAATATCCGCTGGAGCTCCTATCTTATTGGATATCCAATAAGTTATTGAATTATTGGATCCTATGGATATGATCTAATAAGAGCCAATGAGAGATTATTAGATAGAAATCTACTAATCTAAGAGGCTTGGGTAGTTGGATGGAGATCTAGTACCCAATAAGGTAGGATTTATTAGGGTTAAGTTGATAGGGGGCCTCTATAAATAGGATGGAACCAAAGAGCTATAGGCAAGGCCTTTTTTACTGTCATCTCATATTCTCTTCTCCCCTTCTCCTCCTCATCCAACAAGTATGGAGATTTGGGCAGCGATTCAATGAGCATCTTCGTAGCCCCTACCGTGTGGATCACCATTATATAGGAGGATAGTTGACCTCCTTAGTCCTCTCTTATAGATCTATAGGAATTCAGGGATATACAATCTCCCTATGTAACACAACTATCTCACATATGATTTTTAATTTTATGGGTTTTTGCACTGATCTTCGCATGGCGATGAAACCTTTTTATGAAAATTTAGGATTTTTATTTTATATTCTTCTGCTATGTATGTGATGTTGCTCTTAGATTTCCCAATAAAGATAACCGGATAGATTGGTATGTTGTATACTCGTCTATATGATGGAAGTAATTGGTCTTATAGTTGCTCGTGTAGGGACACTAGAGATATAGTGCAGGTGCTCATTAGAGAATGAGTTCACTGATTGATCCACTCACTGAATGCTAGATGGTTGATGATAGCTCATTGTTAGATAGTGATTTCGTCATCCTAGTAGTGTATCGATCCTTAGACTTGAGATACCAATGATGTTCTGTATGAGTACTCTACTTTTTGATATCAGACTTATAGGTCTGGAAGTTTCAGATCTAGCATAATCGGTCATCGGGAGTGACAACCAAACTTACGATTGCTATTGAGTGTCAATAGAGAATTATTTTCTCTTAGTGTCATAAGGGAAATATCTCATGTGTTATTACTCAAGTAAATTCATAACTATGGTCATTCAGATTGAGAGAGAAAGAGTCTATCAGGAGTATCCGATTAGAGCGAGACTCGAGTAGAAACTATATGAGCCTGACAACACCATGCCCGAAATATAACCTTTGAGATATTAGATGGGTGAGGGACTGACTATAGAACATAGTAACTAAGGGTATATAGGTCTAATGGATTGGATTCCTTTGTATTATCTGGAGATTATGACATAGTGGCATAGTACATCCGTAGTGGATGAGTCAAATGAATTATTATAGAGATAATAATTCACTGAGCCATAAAGAGTTTTGACAGGTATAACTCATGACCAACTCGATATTGGGCCCAGAGAGTCACACACATATAGTAGGTACTGCGACAAGTAGATGTTCGGATATGAGATATCCGTTAGAGCCCTTATCTTATTAGATATCTAATAAACTCTTGAATTATTGGATCCTACATATGAGATCCAATAAGAGCCAATGAGAGATTATTGAATAGAGATCCACTAATCTAAAAGACTTAGGTAGTTAGATATAGATTCAATACCCAATAAGGTAGGATTTATTAGGGTTAAGTTGACAAGGGGCCTCTATAAATAAGAGGAAATTAAAGGGCCATAGGCTTGACCCCTTTTGGCTGGTACCTCCTATTCTCCTTTCCCTCTCTCCTCCTCAACCAGCAACCCTTGTTTGGGGAGTGTGGATAGCAAAAAGGGCTGACTCCTTCTTGACTGCGTGGTGCACAGTCAGGAATTTGAGTAGCGATTTGAGGATCGTCTTTGTAGCTCCTACCATGTGGATCACCACTAAAGATGAGGACAGTTGACCTCCTTTATCGTCTCATATAGATCTACATGAATTTAGGGATATACGATCTCCCTAGGGTTAAGTTGACCTCCTTTATCCTCTCTCTCTCCCTTCCTCATCTAGTAGCCCCTATTTGGGGCATGTGGATAGCAAGAAAAAGGGTTGACTCCTTCTTGAATGTGTGTTGTGTAGTGAAGAATTTGAGCAACGATTTGAGGGTCGTCTTTGCAGCTCCTACCATGTGGATCACCAGTAAAGAAGAAGACAATTGACCTCCTTTATCGTCTCCTATAGATTTATATGAATTCAGGGATATATAATCTCCCTAGGTAACATAATTTTTTTATACGCATAGTTTTTCGGTTTCGTAGGTTTTTACTCACCAATCTTCGCACAATGACAAAAGACCATTTTTTTGTGAAAATATAAAATTTTTATTTCTATTATTCCGCTATACATATCCATATGATGTTATCTCAAATTTTTTAATATTTTTATATAAAAATAAGTATTGATCGAAGATTCCACGAACGTTAGTACTAATAACTAAATACTCCCCCTCCTAAATATTATTATTCATGCACTTGGTTTCAAGTTTGAAACCAATCATATTTTTGCTCAATTAGGCTAAATCGTTATGATTATTAACTCTTGTAAAATAACAGAATAGAAAAATATCATTTCGTATTATTATCTTTTGAGTATTTTGGAAGGAACGACAAAGTACGATACCTATGAATTTACTTGACCTTTATTGAAATTTGAACTCGCTTGTATATCTACATTTCTATCAGAATTCATTAACAAATCATTTCATACCTACATTTGTATCTAAATTTATTCAAATATCAATTTAAAACTATTCGTATTCGAAAAAGAAACTTTCGTGCTTGATTATAAGTACGTCTTTGTTACATAACTTTTACAAATTTAATATGAATCCACAACAATCGTTAGTCTAGAAGTAGATTGCTAATATGAATTTTGAAGACAGCTCATTCTGATCCCTAATTTGAATCTTAGCATACTTGGAAAAGCACTCACCCACATGAACTTTGACAAAAGATGGTTGAAGACAAAGGCACTCGATTAAATCAAACTTCCATGCTTCCTCCTACCAACAAAGATGAAATTTAAATAAAATCCACGAGACAAAATATATCAAATATCGAGAGGAGATAGAAGAATGCGGAATCCCTAATCATAGTTGATAGTTGGGATTTATGTGATAATTTGATGCCAAATTTGATTTAACTATATATATATATTTCTGAATTCGTCGAAAATATGTGATTTGGTATATTCGAAAACCCGACATCCTCAATTCTAAACTTGGGGCAGCAAAACCCTAACATTTCGCGGCGCCGCAAAACCGAGTGCGCCACGTGTGAGTCGGCCGCGGCCCTCTCCTTGCCCTGACGTGTGATCACAATCCGGAAGCGCTTCCCTCAAAATCCTCATCTCCTCACGCTCGCTCTCACTCGCTGCCCCCGTTTCGACCAACACCACTGCGAATACCCCTCTTTCTCGAAATCTCTCTCTTCCGTTTCTTCTTGGAATCTTCGATTCCCTCCTCCTCCGACGGTAGACTTTGCGGGAGGCGCGGATTCCTTCTTGATTGACTGACTCGGGTTCTCATTTGAGCTACATTTGTGGTTTGTTCGTTGTTCCAGATCGGCCGGGGCTGTCGGGGAAGATGGCATCGCCGAAGGAGGGGTTCTTGACGGACGAACAGAGGGAGGTGCTGAGGATAGCTGTGCAGAACGCGGAGGTACTGTCCTCGTCGCCGAAGTCCCGGACTTCCTTGCTGCTTCCGGAACTTAAGAGCAAGGTCGGGTGTGGCGGGAAGTCTACCGCGGTTGGAGGCAGCGTGAGGCATGTCCGGCGCTCGCATTCGGGGAAGCCAGTGCGAGTGAAGAAGGGTGAGTTCGCGCAATGCTGATGATTGCCTTACTGAACAACCATTTTGCCGCAATCGCGTGTTTCTTTTCGTTTTCAGTAATTCATACTTAGATGATTAACAGAATCCTTTGCAACATTACTTTGATTTTGTTTCACATTTATCTGGACAGAATAAGATGTAAAGTCAAAAGTTTTCGTTTATTAAATTATGATGTCTAAAATTACATATAAAAGACAACAGTTTCAAAGGTATTCTCTACTAAGTTATGGTGTCTGAAGTTGCATCCAAAGTGAAAACTGATAGGTCACTGCACATGATATGATGACCTGTGCATTGTCTATGGCATTATCTGTTGGTGCCTCAGACAGATATGGGTTCATCATCCTATGCATTTTATGCTTCTTTCAAGTACCAAAGTTGAGAAGATTCGTAGTAATTGAAGTCAAGGGCCCAGGTTCATTTAAGATGTCATTGAG